TTAGTATTCTAGAAAAGGTTTGGGTGCAAGATACATAGCCATTTTTGTTGTAGGCTGGCAAGAGAATAATAATAATAAGAAGAATTACAAATGGGCTGTTTTGAGCAGATTTTCTTTTTCTTATAAGTCTAACAGGCGTGCTTTTTTGTGTGTGTGTGTATCTTTATATGTGTACAGCCTTCTCAGTCAGTAGTAAAGGTTACAAAGTGTTGTTTGAACTGAATCTTTACTGTTTAAGGTGCTTTTTTTGCCTGAATGTTCTGTCAGGGTTTTGTGCAATTCCTTGGGATCCCTATTATGAATGACTGTCATGGTTCAGGATTATGTAACATATGGACAACAAGGACCATATGAACTAAAATCCACCCTTTATTTTTCAGGAAATAAGTTTTCCTCATAAACTCCTCACTGCTGCCACTGCTGACAGCAACTTATTTCATAGTTACATTGTTATAAAAATAAAACTCTTGATTGGACCCAAGCTTGTCTTTTTCAGATCTTAAATTTATGTCCTCTTCTCCTGTTACATTCAGAATACAGCATAAATAAATTGGTCCTTTATTCTGTTAATCATCCTTCCCCCCAAATAATGATGTAAACTTCAATAAGATAATTTGTCTTCCTTTTTTCAGAAAATAATCTATCCAAATAAGATAACTCTCCCAATTCTGGAATCATCATAGTATCCTTCCTTTAAACCCTTTCCAGTAATAATTCAATATCTTTCTTTAGATATGGCAACCAAAACTGTACACAGAACTTCAAATTAGTCCTAACTAGCAAATTGTATTGCTACTAGTTTTGCTTTCAGCTACTGACTAATTTTTTTTTTTTGTAGAGCTCAAAATGATTTAGCTAAAACAGTCATTCAAGTATATATTTTTCTAGAGGTACTTTAGAAATTTAACTACAATTACTAGTAAACAATTAGATCACAAAGTGGTGATCCATCATAATATCTGATTAACCTGGACTAATGTAGTGTTCACAAGTAAGCTAGAGCTAGTGATTTTAGGATAATGTTTAAATTTACAGAAAAACCTAATATTTCTTTTGTTATTTTATGGGGTATTATAAAGTCTCATGAAATGATATGTATGTTGTAGTATTGATGCAGTTCTAATTTTATAATGTTTTTAAAATCATCTATTTGGAATATGAGATTTTATGTCTAAATTCACAGATAATAAATGTTGAGGTGACATGTGAACAAAAGTTAGAGAGTGCTGATATAGTATTTCTAGGTAAAACTGGAGTCAACATGTAATTACAAAGCTCTGTAAAAAAGAGCTATTAAAAATAATAAAATTAGTATGGGAAGACTGAAACACAAGAGTGAAATAAAGAACAACTGCTGTTATTGTTTATTAGACTTAAGAATTCATGATGTGGTGGATTATCATCGAAAAACTCTTGTGCTCACTGGAGTTGAGGAAGAGCACATTTTCCCAGAGATTATGAGAGTTTGTCTGTACTACACTGTTAAGCCAGACCAAAGTCATAGTTCAGTGACCCATAGTATAGATTACTCACATCGGTAATCATTCCCATTATATATACTCAAAGGCTATATACTGTAAATAAAGAAAACTATTTGTGCAAACCTCTGTACCACCCCTCCAATTAGGTATAATTCACACCTCAGGGTAGCAATGAAAATGTATTATTTCATATTTCAAAATGTTGGCATCTCAGTCTCATGTTCTTGTCTTGTTTTATAATATGGACAACCCTACATTCAGTAACTTGGTTAAACAGGTTCCTCATCCTTCTTGAGGGCCACTTCTGTTGTATAGGTAGTATAGCCATAGCAAGTGAGCTTGAGAAGCCATCTTATCATGACCTCTTACAGTGTCTATGGCAACAAAGCCATTGGTCAACATGTTGATTGAGCCTTGAGGGTCATCACTGGCCTTTAAGGTTGTTTCAGATCCAGATCTGCCACTGAAGTAGTCACTGCTGTTGTCTTCCTCTGCCTTAGTGTTCAGTTTGATCATCACAGAAATATTCTCATTCAGAGGTTAACGTCCTTGAGATCTATGTGATGTCACATGGACTCGCTTGGCAGTCCCTTCATGAACTTATTGATGAGAAATTCATTGCAAGCAGTAGGTAACATGGTCATGAATGTTGTCTTCGTATGCAATCTCCTTAGATCATTTGTGTAAATGTCCAAGTTCTCATAAGGTTCATGCTTTCACTCTTTGAACTTGGCCGTATATATATATTTCTTGGTTTTTTGCACAGTCTGCTCTTCTATGTACCTTTAAGGATTCAGGATTCCAAATTCAACATCTGATGTTAAACTATCTTTGAATCTTTCAAACTACTCCAGGAAATAACCTTCTTTAAATATTTGAAGGAATAGTCCAGATCTTCTTTTGTTGCCAATTTAAATACTAGAAAGGTCACTTGCTTCACTTCTAAGATAACAGTGAATGTTTGTATCTTCTTCCAATGTCTACCATTATGCTAAGAAACAGTCAGTTCTTGAGGAAAGTTCATCTCAGTTCTAGAGATTCACATACCGACATTTAGTGTCATTGGGAAGGATCAAAATTGCATTTGGATACATGTCACCACTGTGGACTACAACAACCTCAGTTACTGGAGGGGTCTCAGAGCAACATCAGCATAAGGGTATGACTACACTTGTATAAATTTTAAGTAACACAGATGTTAAAAAACAACAACAACATTTAATGGTGTACTATAAATACATAAAAACAAGACTGTCCCAGGCTCAAAATATAATAAAACATTTATTGAGTAATTTACTGTATAAAGATCAAACCTTGAGACTGGGAACAATGTCTGGAATGCTCATGGCTGCTCCATCTAATAGCATTACACCTCTTCCTCACCTTTATCCTTGTTACTGATAATCTTATCCAGTGCCTGGGCCAGTCAACAAACACTCAGGAGTCCCCTTTAGAGATCATCTCACTTATTCTTGAGATGTCCTGATTGATCATCATCACCATTACCCATCTTTACTATCTTGTACTCCTGCATGTGGAAGATGACTAGTAGAGGTCAAATTGCAGTAGCTAGGGTTTCTCCTAGCCATCCCTAACCTGTCAGTCCTTCTTACAAATTGGGAATGTGGTGTGAAGGTTTGGTCCAGGAGAGGATCACCTTATCCTTGCTACAGTATTAGATCATGCCCATATCTCAGCTGCTGCTTTCTTTTTTCCATCATAGGTTCTGAATGACTTCATAAAGTACTTTTTCATTTTCACAGAGAATAAACTTTGCAGCACAGAAAGTTAAACTTAACATGAATCACATCAAAATATACACTTTAATAACAACCAAAATACTGTGTGTTAACCTAGTATGTGGTGTGGACTGGAGCCAACAGGCAAGTATTAAACTGTACAGAAACAATATAACAGTATATTTGGGAAATATGTATTAAGGAGAATATAATGAGCTTGTATAGCCAAGGAAATACTGTTATAATTCAAGAATTTTTATGGTATTTTTAATCAGACTTGCTGGCCTGTAAGTTATTGCTGTAGATTTCTGGTGACTACTTGAGTTTAGGAAAACTTGTTTTCATATGATAGAGGCTGCAGAATTGTGTCTAAACTATACTTTTAATTCAGACCAAATTTCTGGTACATAGTTTGCAATCCTAGATTATGTGCTTCATTGATCATTCCCATTACACACATCGAATGGGAGATTAACATCCAGCTTAGTTGATCTTGTACAAACTTCTGCTCCATCTGTTTAGTTAGTTATGACCCACACCACAGGGAACCAATGACACAATAGCTTGGCTAAGGAAGTATGAGCTATATGGCATGATCATTACAGTATGAAACTTAAGTCTTGGGTGAATATTAATGCAAGTTTTACAACTATTAATATCCTGTTCACAAGGGCATTAACTAACCACACAATACCTGGCTGAAAGTTTTTGGAGATCTTACATGAATAAAAATGAAAGGTATAATCTAGCAGGTTTTGAACTGCTTCACTAATACATTATTTTATGAAGAAAGAAAATATTCAGTATTGTAAGTATATAGTGTTATCTATTAGAAGTGAAGATGATCATTTCCATGTTAATAATGCTAATACAACTTCACTCCTTGGTAAAATCGAATGTTTTCTAAGTTTTATCTTGCCATGTTCCCCCTCCAAATTTTTTTTAGAAACACAAACAAGATGTGAAGGTGTGTGGAAAGTTATTCTAAATTATTTTCAAATGAGTAAAATATATACAAAAACTATTGAATAGTAACACCCACTTTATTTTGGTTCTTTTTTTGTTCTCCACCAGAGATGCTTTCTATATTTAATACACAACATGTGTACTGAGTATCTTATTTTTTTAGTCAAGTTAAGTATCTCCTGTATTTTAATTAATTTACCTTTTCTTGATAAGAGTTTTTATTTTTTCATTGTATTGTTCTTGTTAAAGAACATAATTACATGTCTATTTTTTGTTATTTGAAATTTATACAGCTTAATTCTGATGTTTTTCAGTGGCAATGAAAGAAACCTGAACACAGTTGAACTTCAGTGTGCTGGGTGCCTAAAATGGTTTCACCAAGAATGTATTACACAGTCTATTGGGTAAGCATTCATCTGTTTAATATGAACTTATATTTCTTATTGTGCACTTTATGTTCAATTTGAACGTGTTTGTGAGGTTTATATGACCACTGAACCTTTGGAATTAAATAGCACTAGTTGTCTCAAAGTATAAACTACCAAGATATCAAACCAATAAAGTTACATCTATGTAGAAAATTAAATGACAGAACTAAGCTACAAATTTTTTATATTAGATTAACAAGCCAGTCAATTGAAAGTTCATTATTTTCCACTGTTAAATGTTAACAAATAATTCTGTGAATTCTTTTGACAAGTGCTTAGCTAAATATATAAGAAAATCTAAATAGATTTCAGAAGTAATCACTATAGGGCAATTCAAGTCTAATCAATTTGTAATAGGAGTACTTATATTTTTATTTTAGCCTAGCCATAGCAAGTAGGCTAAATAAAATGACTTTATGATGCCAGCAGATTACATTATTTGATAATATGCATAAACATGACTGAAATTAATATAAATAATATTAAAAACATATGCCTAGAACTATACTAACTTTAGAAATTGTATTGAATATAAGAATATAGGCCATTTTTACAGTATAGATTACTAGAATAAATTGTTTTTATTACTTTGCAAGTTCATTAAATCACATAGGTTGAAAAAGTCTTAGAGTTAACTGCATGTAGGCTTTATGCAGATTAGCTTGATCCTAAGTGAATGTGATGGGATCCTAACTCCTAGTATGTTCAACATAATTGGTAAAGCTGAAAATGAGACTATGCTACAGGTGAAGGAGACATTTTTAATTTTTCAAATGATACCTATATTTAATAATCAACAAACAGCTTCTGGACTTTTATTCACAATTTACGTACTTGAATTATATTCTATAACTGTGTAGCAGTGCTGCTGTTGGTTGAAAATTTTTCAGAAGAGAGCTTTGTACTGACATTTTGTTTCTGATATAATAAAGCAAAGTCATTTCAGTTCCTGGAAAATCAAGACTATTTGCTAGGAAGTTTTTTTCCCCTCTTCACCTTTGAAATTGCAGAGCAGTCAAGGCCAAAATCTAAGAACTATTCAGTTGAATATTTGACGTTTTTGATCATCTGATAAAAACCAAAAAAAAAATGTTTTTCCCCTACATGTCATAGGAATTTAAAATAAGGAATTCAAGAGATTTGTTATGCATTTTATGAAAACCACCCCATAGCTAGTCTTTGATTCATTCGCTGACATTAATAAATCTTGAAACACTGAAAATTACATTGTCACTTAATTTCCAAATGTTATTACTGAGCTGGAACCATCAAAACAATTTTCATTGTCACAGATAGTGTAGTCAGTATGAAGGCCACAAGGGTAATGTTGATGAGTGAGTATTTATACCTCTAGAACTTGTGAGTTAGAGAATTTGAAAGTGTTTTATCACATCTGTACAAAGGCAAATTGTTAAATTCTTTAAATGTAACTGAGTGTTGTCAGCTATTTTGTTATCAGCACTTTTTTCAATCTGTGCTCAGTGAACTTCAGTGTGATTCATCCATTATTTGACTCCATGACCTTCAAATACCAGCAAGAAGGCTGTGCATTCAGCTGCTACAAGAGAATCAGTCTGTGGCTGTTGTCCTTGAGAAATCTGTACTATTATCTCCATGAAGATATGATACGGGTGTGAAATTTGAAACACATTCAGGTACTCAGAATTTGGCACAATCAGTTCAAAGGATGGAAATTGTTGCAGCTACACTGTCTGATCTCAAGCAGAATTTCCTGACCCTTCAAAAACAAGAACAAGCAGAAGATAGTTCACTTACCAAATCTGAGTAAAAGCAGAAGAGGACCAGCACTGGAGAACAATACAAGCAAGTTATCATCCAATCCACACTGCATTTCACCTAGATGATCCAAGTTACCAAATGAAGTATCTGAGTGATGGTAAATTTGATTCATCATGCAATTTCACTGCAACAATAGCCAGTTTTAAAGGTGGTTTTGATTATCAGAGTGTTCTTACACTGTTGGCTAATTTTAAAGCAAAAAAGTTTGGTTACAAAACCATGTGAGACACTATCTAAGAATTTTTTTGTGTTAGCACTGCAGGAAGACTTGCTTCCTCTATGGATGTTAGCCACTGTGGGTGATATCTTTCTCTTGTACCTCAACATATGAAAAATGAGGATCCGTTTGAGGACTAGTGCACTCTTAAACAAGAAACTAGTTGGGAAGCTGATCACTGTTAATCACAGCTTTTGATTGATAAAAGATTTCGAAAGAAACCCTCGCCTAGTATTCATACAATGAAAATAGCTTGAAACCAATGAAGATAAAGGAGATGCAAATGAACAGAATGGCAAGGAAGAAATGGCAGCCATAATGTAAGATGTAAGAGGGAAATCCTTAAGGACTCTGTTTGATTAGCTTAAGATGTTGCTTTGTAAGATCTTTATTTTACTGTGATACCTTGTAACTTCATTAGCTAATAATTGTGTTGAACTTGTTGTTTTGATATGTGTTAGTAAAAAAAAAGAAGACAATTAGGTCATCTAGTTATAAGATACAGACACAGTGTTACTCTGTTATTATTGAAATTGAAGTTGCGATTAAGTGAAAAAAAAAATTAATAATACTAATATTCAAGTTTGTAAATATTTGCTATGATTTGATACCACTGCAGCAAGTAGTTTAAAACACCTTTAGTAACTTTAAAAAGTAAAGGTGCAATTAAAAAAACTAACAAGTTCTAATACTTGATAATATTTCTTTGACCAGAGAAATTATTAAGTGATATTTGACCATGTTTGGCAGTATATTTTAGTATTTGATTATTATCTGCTCAATCTACTGGCATATTTTCATTACCAGTCAAATACTCAACATTTATGTTAGCTTACATAAAGATATATATTTTGTAAATAAATTTGACTTACTAATTTCCATAACATTTTTGAAGTATTAGAATTTATTTTATTTTTTTGATTTAAAGAGTTGTATTTCTTTTTATCTTGAACATGCTTGACTGTTGATGTCTGTTTATTACTTCTACAGGAAATGTGTTGCTTTTATGTACAACTATCATTTCTTATGCAAAAGCTGTAATCCTTCTGGTTTTGAAACTTTTACCAAAAAACAGGCAAGTAAGTATAAGTGTTTCTTTCTAAATATTTGCATTGAAAAATCTGGTTTAGAACCAGTTGTCTAAACGTAACAGAAGGTTAAACCTAAAGTAAGTTATTGAAAATGCGTCTGTAAAGTACAGACAGAAGTTATTAGTATATGTTATATGTTGGAGAGGATAAATAAAAATGCATTGTAATTGTAGAGAAATCCATGGCTACCATGAAAATATTCAAAGAGTGACAATAAGCTATTGCTGTCATGTTCAGTTACTGGTTTGGCTATATCTACTGTGTTAGCATAAATTTAACTTGAGAGTAGTGGTTGAGGAAACTGTATTTGCTTCTATTGTATTATAAAGCCATGTGGGACTGTATTTGAAATTAGGGTCAGTTTGAAATAACTTGCATGAATTCATGGAAGAAATGAAATTAAGAATTTTTACTGTTGAATTAAGGAATCTGAAACAGATGTTCCAAAACATACTCGCCTCTACTCACACTTACAAGTATTACTCGACTGCCAGGGTTTCTTCCATTGCCCATCTAAGCATTAGTCTGATTTTTTCTCACTTCCTCCAGTTTTTTATACCCTTTTTATACCTAATTGCCTTTGGCGATATTTGTATCATGACACTCCACCTACGTCAATGCGCCCTCTTTCCTGATGCTGTATATAAGCACCTCATTCAGATAATATTCTCAGTTTTCAAGACTGACTCAATCAACAATCTCTAACACTGGCTCTTAGGGGGAGGAGGAAGGGGGAGAGTGTGAGAGAAGGTAAATATTATTATATATATTATATTATATATAAATAAATTATTGTGTGTTTATTTTTCTGATTGGCAAGCCGATTTACGCTATTAATTCCTGGATTATTATTTCTGGCATGGAGGCAATTAAAGTCTCTCCTACCTTATTTGTAGTAAGTCCGGGGGACTCTGAGGCTGCAATTGAGGGCGATCCTTGACATTCTGGAGAGAATTTAGATTCACTGTTTCTTGTGCCTTCTTTTAGTCTGTTGGCTTTTTAGTCCCCCTGTTGGACAGTGGTGAGTCTCTCCTACCTTATTCGTAGTAAGTCCGGGGGACTCTGAGGCTGTAATTGAGGGCGATCCTTGACATTCTGGAGAGAATTTAGATTCACTGTTTCTTGTGCCTCCTTTTAGTCTGTTGACTTTTTAGTCCCCCTGTTGGACAGTGGTGAGTTTACGGACTTAAAATTCTAGAATCCGGGGCTCAATTCCCTGTAGTGGACACAGCGGATGGCCCAATGCTGCTTTGCTCTAACAAAATAAACTACCTGACTAAATGTTGTTCCAATCAACAGTAATTAACACAGTCTTTAAATGAAATATACAAAAACAAAAAGGAGGCCTCTTTGGAATAAGCTGTCTTTGTTTTCTTCAGTTGATTCATCGAGAGTGTGATGTTTTAGTTCATTCCCCAGTTGTTTTTGAGCCTGCACTTTATTTGATGGCTAAAAGGTGTGGGAGTGAATATTTAGTTTTCTCTCTATCGAAGGACATTGTGGTTCATGCAGGGAGGATACTTCTCAGTTACTTGAAGGGACAGTTATGCCTTATCCAACATGGTTGTTGGAACTTTGTCTTTTATCTTACCACTGCTAGGTGGAAGCATATTCTGACTCTCAAATAATACTTCTGCTCCTTGAATTTAGAGGTTCTAAGGTGGAGTTTGTAGTTAAACTGAATAGATCAATGTCCCCCTAGTGGAACAGGGCAAGTCTACAGACTTACAACTCTAAAATCCAATGTTTTGTTTTCCTTATACTACACTTTGTTGGAAGACTCTCAGGATCACCAACTTCTTTGATGATGAGTTGAAACCATTGTTAGCATGCACATTGGTTCAGTTGTTGGCTTCTACGTTCATCTCTATTGTCATTGATGTCTTGAATTTCATCGTCTCCTTTGGGGGGGGGTGTCATAGTTCCTGCTGTATTTGAGGGTCCTGACTGCCGACATCAACCCATCGATACATTGGTACCCAGAATAGATTCTGTCTATATACAAGGTTTCCACTGCATGGTCGGATCGCTGACAGTGGCGTCAGTGTTTATTGTATGCTTTAGGGGTCTGTGTGGGTTCGGTTTCCGAGAATTTCTGGGTGTATGGTAACATTAACCATGGATCCATGAGCACTACAGGTCCTTGAGTGAAAATGAAGAGGAGTGTATGATGCTATATGAACTGTACCATGTTTAACATTTTGTCAAATACCAGTGCTTTTTAAGCCAATTGGGATATGACAGATATAGTGATGGTTGAGATGCTATTTGCATTAGAAATTGTTTTAATAACTGTTTCAGTGTGAACTGGATTAAGTTGAAATGTTATTTTTATCAATTTTGTGTCACTACACTGAGAATTAGAGTAAGGATTTTTAACACTAATTTATGTATTTGAACACCAAATTGTCTATTATTATTATTTATTTATGTCACTTGAATTAACATACTCATCATTCATTAGAAGTGGCTAACTAGCATGCTAGTTTTCTTGATCCCAGTGTAGGTAAAGCGACCACAGTGACAATGGGAGGATAGTAATCATAAGAACTTCTGTGTGAAAGTAAAGAAGCGTGTATAATAATATAGGAAACAAACAATATCTGCTATATCCAGTGCTGATGAGGACTTTCACCCAAGGCATTTAGGTCATACAGTATCAAGAATATTTATATAGTGACTTTGTACATGCCAAGCCAAGGTTGTGAGTGTTCTGTTGACCTCTTTACTGTCAATATATAATTTTTTCACGTTTGCTGTAGTCTTGCAGAAAGATGACCCCCCCCCCCACTCCAATGAGTTGGGTTCATGAAGGAATAGCATGATGTATCAGAAACCACATGTACTTATCTGCATTGAAGGTCTCATCAGTTTTTTTGTAGATCACTAATAATATTAACCATGGTACAGCCCTATACGTGTAATTTTCCTCCACAGTGCTTCACTCTATATGTTGTTTATTGACTATGATATTGTTCTCTTTCTATTATAAAACAAACACTTATTGTTGTCAAACAATTTAAATTTGGACGTGTGTAAAGAACACATATCTTCTGCATTGGTTTTTTCTACTGGTTGTAGTCTAATACTTATTTTAGTTTGGTTATCTCTTCTCAGCAATAATTTTCGAGTAACTAACATGTCCATTGAGACCATTTCTTTCTATTGTGTATCTTACTGTTCTCAAGGTAATGCTTAAAATCTGTATTTTAAGCAAGGTTGTTGGTTAAATCTGTACTTGACTGTTGTCTGTTAAGAATATGCCTGGAGATGCATAACATCACTTTTAGAGAGTTTCAATGTTTTTCCTCAACCACTGCTGTTGTTAACAATTCCAGTTTTATGCACCCCGTTCGGAATCTTGCTTGTAGCTCCTACTCAGAGATGGAGATATTCCTAAACTTTGATTTCTTCCTGCTTGTTATGCAGGATTTCAGTCTTGTGAGCCATGACTGGGTCACACTACTACCACTACTGTGCATAGCATGATTACCTGTAATTTTATAGTTTTTACATTTGTGTGTCAATTTCTGATTTAATATTTGGTAATCAGTCACAGTGCATACTATTGAAACGTAGCTGTACTCTAATGCAGTTCATTTGCACACAAAAAGGAGTGGTGTTCCTTTAGTATTTGGCTTTTTTTCTCATTGTTTCCATAAGTATTTTCTTTGCTGTATGTGGAATGTTTTTTATTAATTCTTGTTGCAAGAAATTTATATTCTAATTAATCATTTTGTGATAAATGCTGATTATGCTTTCTATTATTTTTGACATATCTTTTTGCTTTTTGAGTATGAACTAAGTATATATCCCCACTTAGCCTTATATTGGATGAAATTAGTATTGTAGCTAATGTTTTGTAATTTTCAGTTTATAATTTTTTGTAAGCTTTATATTGTATATTAATCTAGCATATAATTTCTAATGATAGCTTCCTTTTTTTTTAATTATAAAATGTTTAGGTTTTAGCCAAATGTGTGTCACATCTATTGCTAATCTTCTGCAGCAGAATATAGCTGCTGGTACTGCTAGGACTATGTTTTCCAAAGACAAGGTAAGTTTTGTGATAGATATATTATATTTAATTATATAATACCAATATCAGATTTTAATAAGGAATATCATGTAACTAACACTTGTAATATCACACTAAGGGCTGAGATCTTAAAGGATTGAAACCTCTGTACAAAAATTTTTTATCTGGTGTTGTTTCTATGGTTCCTAATCAGTTGTGCTTTACTTCTCAATATCTAGTTTTGTTTTATGGTGCAGAAATTTTAGTTTCTCAATAAGATTAAATATTTTAGTTACATATTTTTTATGAAACTCTTGATGACTGATATCAGTGAAGCTACAAGTAATAATGAAGATTCATATCAAACAAATTAAATGCTTTATTAGGTATGAAGTAGATAGAAACAATGAGATCTTCATTAACAAGAAAAGGGCTAGGCATAGCCTAGTGGTTATCATGATTGGACTGAATCTTAGGATTCATGGTAAATGACTAATTTCTGCAAAAAGTCACTTTTCAGTTTGGGACCAAAGGTGTGCTTTAAGAGTAAAAATAAAATCCCATTATTCAATCAAAGAAGAGTAGCCCAAAAATGATGGTAGATGCAGTTAACTCTCTGTCTTCCCTCTACTCCAATGGTTCTAATTAGGGACAGCTATGCATAGATAGCTCTTATGTACATTTGCATGGAATTCTGAAACAAACAAATTTGAAGAAAGCAAAGTACTGTTAAGTCAGTATACAGGCAGATAATGTTTACTGTACATTAACAGGTTGTACAAAATTCAGGTACTACATTCTCATCAGAAAAAAGTGATTTTAGTCAAATATGTGAATCCTTTAAAAGGTCCTTGAATCACTTTAAAACATATGTATGTATTAACCCAAAACTAGACTTTGCCTCCATATTTATTACTTGTTTTAACTAAAGAATGTAAATTTATGGTGCTGCTTGGTCTAAGAAAGTTTGAAATATATTGTCTCAGAGAGAATTAATGAACTTTTGTTTTAAATTAGCATCTTAGACAGTGTATGGCAATAAGAAAGAAGATCACAAAGTTGCAAATTGCTTGCAATTATTTGTATCCTTACTTGAATTTCATTGTATTGTTTTGTTAGACTCCAACAGTATGTTAATAACTGTAGGGCTAGAGAGCCAGAAAGTCATAGGCTTGTAAAGATTTATTTAGTGAAGTATTGAAAGATAAATGTGTATTTGCACAGTATCATCAGACTTTTTATATGCATGCAGTACATTATTGTTAAGGTTACCACAATAAATGTTGAAACACATCATTGGTTCTACCACACTGAGCTATACATGTAATACTAACTTATACAGACTGTGGCGCAGCGGTATGTCTGTGGACTTATTATGCTAGGAACTGGGTTTTCGATACCTGTAGTGGACAGAGCACAGGTAGCCCATTGTGTAGCTTTGTGCTTAACTACAAATAAATTATACAAAATGATTAAATAAAGAAAACAAAAAACAACACAGTTTACTATCTAAATAGACCTCTGATGTGTTTTTAATATTTTGATTATATGTAACTAGTAACTTTTTTTGAACTTAGTCTTAATACAAAAAATCTCACAGATGTCTCAGGCAAATATAGTATTTGATTCTTTTCTTTCTTTTGTTAAATTGATATAGCATATAACAACAGTGTTTATATATAATATTGAATAACAGTCTTGCTTTAATAGTTTTTGCTGTTAACTCAAAAATTATGCATGTTCCTAGTCCTAATCATCTTATCTTGATTTAAAAATCCTTAAGATATGTGTTTGGATAAAACAAAACATCTTAATGTAAATTTGCTGTAAAGAAAGTGATGCAAGAAAATGTTCTAAAAATTTTGCATTATTACTCAGTGTTGCATCAAAAATGGCTCATGGTGATACTCATCATATGTGAAATAACTCTGATAAAGGAAACAATTTTTGTTTTCCTACTAACATCAATTGAAGTTACACAATTCCCACATTAGAAAAAGTGTATGACAACTCATACTATACGCGTACATCTTAAGACCTAATATTTTGAGTAATTGGGTTTTATTTTAGTATTGTTTGATGAAAAATACACACTTGACAGACTTTCCATTAAAAGCTTATTTTAACTTTAAGTTTCCAAAACACACTTGACTCCTCATTATGAGAACAGTTTTTCGTACTTGTTGTGGATTTCTCTTACCTATTGTATAACTTTAGGTATACCTATGTTTTGGACAATTTTTTTTGACCCGTCTTATTGGGTTTTGAGTTAATTGTCTATATTCTTTATTTTCTACAGAAAAAATAAAATTTGAGATGTTTTGGATATGAATTCTCACGTTCACATTTCTGACATGGAGTCTCCTAGTGCTCTTACTCTGCCACCTCTGGAGTCTTAAGTGTTTCCTGGGTGTTGGGGGAGGGGAGCTTTCCATGGAGGACATCCAATCCATCACACGAAGAGAAGTGAAGTAGATAAATCAGGTCTGATGTTTCTTCTCCTGTTGGATCAGAGGCTGAGCTTGGGTGAGGGTGGACTGGTAAGAATTTAGATTATTTTCTTGGCTTCTTCCTTTGCTCAGACAACTAATCATGAGCCTCGGATGGATATCCCACCTCCTGCACCAGTTTTGCAACTTGTACATAAGTTTGTAATGTCTGGAGCATTTCTCCTGTGGCCCTATCAGCTTCCAGCCTAGTTAATCTTGGCTAGTGGTTAAACAGGGACAACACGACAGTAGGCGTCCCTCTACCGCCCCCATGTCCAGAGATACATCTTTTCATGGATGTTTCTCTCCAGGGATAGGGAGCTTATGTAGGGAATAAGGAATTCAGATTGTTCTCCTTGCTTGTCATGTTCCAGGTGTTATGATTTTAATTGCTGATCAGTTATCTTGTTCCAACAAAGTTCTTCCTACAGAACTTCACCACAAGTCTTTTGTTGGATCTCCTCTTATCTTGAGACACTTCAGATTGATGCTTTTGCCACTCACTGGAATGCTCAACTCTCACCCTTTTGGTCTTCTGTCCCTCACCCTCTGGCTTTGGGCATAAATGCTCTCAACCAAGATTTGACAGGTCTTAACCCGATGACTACCAGCTACTAACTTTCTTAGTAGGCAATGCAAGTCTTGCTATATTTCATTCCAACAATAAAACTAGTGGACGAGTATGTTCGAAAGTTCATAAGTACTTTGATAAATGTAGGTAGTTTAAGAAACGTAAAGCCTATTACTTTTAATAAATTTAGTTTTTTGCATTATGATCTTTAATATCTTGGAAAATTACATTAGGAAATGGTATTTTTAAGAAATAATTACAATATTAA